TGAGGTAGATGAGTACACAAAAAGGATCATTGGCATCATTCATAGCAAGTGTAATTAGAGCTTTATAGAAATTTTCTGACTTAAAAAAGTAGTTGACCATATATCAACAATCAAAAGATTGATTCTATAAATTTGAAAAGCAACAACCACTATCTTATGAATTGTTGGATCACAGTTTCTGCCCTTAGGTTATTGATTTGTTGGCATGACCCAAGGCTGTATTCTCATGACCAAAATTTCAACTGCCATTTTGATTATTGTAGTGTCCAACTCAAGTGAATCATTTTCCATAGGATTAAATTGAATTCTATCACCTCCATCACATCTTCCTCTTTCTCATCCTCATTAAGACAAACAGTCATGTGCATGCTCAAGATATGCCCTAGTCTTAGAAGAAAGGGATTCATGGTCTTGAAGGGCCAAGACAAACTGAACAAACTTACTGAAGGGAAAGTATGGTTGTATCGAAAGCATGGCATTTCAAAAATCTACATATTCATTTCTAACATGAGAAAATTTGAAAACCTTGTCCAGTTCAATGAAAGCTATTATATTTTATCTAAGTTATCGCATATTATTTTGAACTCTTTCAAATATCATTAAAAGAGCAAGACGTTTCTAATTTCCATGGGCAAATCCTTCAAATTCCCTCTGTTTCAAGTTAAGAGAAAGAAGCGACTGGAATGATTTCTAGAGCTCTTAGGTTGTCTTTTTTCTCAATAAAAATCATGATATGGACATCTTTCTTTATGGTACCAAGAAGCCACGAGGTCAACAAAACCATCATTGGTAATTCACGCCTAGTAGGGTGGCTCTTCGATTTCTTTAGCAGGAGGGCAATAAAGACAGAGGCTATGGACAAGTGAAAAGATTGCAAGTGAAATAGAAAAAAATTGTTTGTGCTCAGTTTGATCTGATCAAGCTTGAGCCATGAAGGAAGGCTTGGTGTTCAGGACTATTCTTTCTAATGTGACCGAAGGCTGAACCCATTTTATTAGGCCGGGAACTGGCTTATGGCTTAAAGCCCTGGTACCATCAAGAACTAAAGGGAATTTCGTGAAATGGAAAGGTCAAAGCATTAATTGATAGTATTTAACAACTTAATCTAAAGGCTGAAGCTATTGATATTGTAGGGAAAATAATAAGCAAATCTACCGGGCCCAAGCCCACACCACCAAGCCTAAGTGAGATTCCAACCCAAAACCAATTGACAATTGGTGGAATAGCCCACTTGAGTTATATAGTGGATTTCTTTTCTTCTCCTGATCGATGTGGGATTTCTTGTTTGCTCCCAACAATCCTCCCCTCAAACAAAGGACCACATCATTATGGCATCCCCTCAAACGATAATTCATTCGCCAATCATCTTGTACTGCCGTTATTACCGTCGCCCTCTACCAAGCGGGACCCACCGCCTGACCACCAATGTCAAGAAGACTTTCGACACAAGGCACCTCAAACGCGAATGATTTTTAGCCCGATCGCCACCACGCTTTCTACTGCGTTCCTCCGACCTTGGGCTCTGATACCAATTGTAGGGAAAATAATGAGCAAATCTACCGGGCCCAAGCCTACACCACCAAGCCCAAGTGAGGTTCCAACCCAAAACCAATTGACAATGGGTGGAGTAACCCACTTGGATTATATGGTGGATTTCTTTTCTTCTTCCAACCCGATGTGGGACTTCTTGTTTGCTCCCAACAGATATGGCCAATAGTATATCATTTAGATTTTGTTGTCAACATGCCTTTCACGTGTACGTAAGGTTCATTATTTTCCATCAAAATCTAACACGAGAAAATTTGATTAAATGGATTGTAGTGAGACTAGAAATCATGAAATAAATTTGCATACTTTGATACCATGTTAAACTATCTAATAGCTTAAACAAAAATATAGGACCACGCCCATATCATTTAAATCTTGTCAAAGAGATATTGTCTGTATTATATACAAAATGCATTGCATTCTATATGAAAATTAAACAAGTCTACGGGCAGCGTATGGAAATTACATAATTTAGGAACTGTGCTTAGGAAGTAAACCTATCAAAGCATGGTATTGACACATGCATGTTTGAATTGCTAATAATGGCCTTGTTATATCTTCCACCATTTTAGGAAATTTTCCTTTGCTTACATTATCTAAGGGATTTTCCCCTTTGATATTGTCCTCAACTCAACGTCTGTAAAGATGAAATCGCATGGAGACTTACTTTGAGAACTTGTACTTTCCACTTAATTATAAAAGGAATCATATAGCGGTTAAAAGAAATTTGAATCAAGACTTTTGATAGCAGATTATAAAAACCATGAATATTTGGTATATAACAAATGAAAATAGGGAGACATGCTATAATGTGATTCTAAGAGAGAAAATCAGGCTCTTACAGTTTTAGCATGCTCTTACTATTCTAAAGAAAATTATTCAGATATAACCTATGATGCTCGGACTCGAAAACGGGTATCGGGTACGAGTATGTATCTAAGTGTCGGATACTTTATTTTTTAAAATATAAGGATGTGACTAAAAAAAGTCAAAATTTCAAACACGGGTACGTGGGTACGTCTTTCAAACTTCAATTTTTTTATTACTCCAGAACATCATTTTGAATAGACCAAAATTAATTATCACAATGAAGGAAATTGGTATTTAATAAGGGGTTAAGACGAATAAAATAGAATTTTGGGGTTTAGTTTTCAATAATAAGAATTACTAAATGTTATATAAAATAGAAAATGAGGAACTTGATTGTAATTTGACTTAGTGAAGTACTAAATAGCACTATATGGAACCCATTTTTATTTTATACAAACAAAATCCTAAACCACCGACACAAAGAGAGAAAGAAGGAAAAAAAGAAGAAATGGGGAAAAAAAAGAAAGAAAAAGAAGGTAAAACCTAGCCCCGCAGCTTTTCTCCACCATCTCGGTGACGACGCTAGGTTTATAGAGAGCAAAAGTGGGAAAGAAGAAAAGGGAAAGAAAAGGAAAAGAAAAAGAAAAAAAAAAAGAAGTAAAAACAACGAAGTGTCCGGTTGAAATTTGGAGGATCCGACACATATCTCATACCCATACGCATGTCGTGTCCGACACAGGTACTCCAGCTATTTCGATGAGTCCGAGCATCAAAGGCTAAATAGATTTGTTGGAAACAATAGATCATGAGAAATTGAAACTGTGAACAAATTTAAAGTGCTTTGCAGTGGATTATGTTCAATAAAGATGAGTTGGAAGAGGCAAGAATTGAGAGTATTTCCAATTTCGCCATCTTCATTAATTATTTAAACAATCTATAAAAAGAAATTATTTATTGTGGGATTAGTTCATACAGCCACACTCATGTGTCTCAACATTTAGAAACTCAACTCAAAACCCCCAAGACTTGTTCGAGTATAAAAAAAAGATAAAAGTACACCTATTCAAATGTATTTATTTCTACAGCTTGTAGGTTCTTGTGCTCGAAATAATAAACTATACATAGGTCAAAACAGTGAAGAGAGAAAGAGCACGACACTAGTCCTCCAGCTAAACTTTTGCTCATCAACCAATACCTTTTTTATTTTCTAACATCTTGGAATCAATGTTATCGCTCCGGCTTTTGTAACATCAGGGCAATAACTCATGTTACAAGTTTCCTATCACGAGCAGTTTGGAGCAAATATAGTCGAGCACCACATCTGTTATTTGTGGACACCTTGATATCACCGAATCCTTTAATATCGACCAGCTTTCACCTACTGCAGTCATTCTCATGTTTCCCAGGTTATGTAAAAATGGAGAGTATCACTTCAGCTTTTTCATGAACATCGTGTGATTGCATTCCGTGACGTTAGAAGGATTATCAATCAAGATTGCCCCCATACAGTGCGAGACATCATTGAAAAAGCCCTTGGTGGTAATGCTGCAGAAAGTTCATCTAGAAACCAAATGATAATTCCAGTGAATGCTGCTAGATTTCTTCATCAAATCATATTATGATGCCATTTAATGGTGGATGGAGGACAAAGTTCAGGGCCAAATCAGATGATGATTCAATCTAGACGAGTATATATTAATACAATTAGAATGAGAAGTCATGTACGTTGTATCAATTCGTCTCTCCTGCACACATACTGACATAATTTTGGTGAGCTAGCAGTAGTAGTCATCCATTTTCTTTCCTTATCCATCCCCATCCCACCCCTAAAACAAAAGGAACAAATTAAAGAAATAATGAACCAAAAATAAATAAATAAATAAAGTACCACATTAGAATTGAAGATAGAGGTTATTCCATATTAAAATTATAGGCAACCTAATGCATGAACTCCCATTAGTGCATTAGTTACAAAAATAGACACTTCAGGCGTGGATCAAGGTACAGGATGAATCAAATGCGATGCATTAACTAAAAAAATAAATAAAAAGGGTAATAATATCAGCTCTTTCAAAATTATCAGTGAAACTAGCGGTGAATGATGATAGTAGAGAAGGTTTGGCCAAGTCTTGAATGAAAAATATAAGTTGATAAAAAGAATTTCATTCGTGCACCACAATGAAAAGAAGGATCTCCCTGAAATTACATTGGCAAAAATTTCAGAGAACGACAAACAGTGGAGGTCTCATAAATATATGGACCAGAAGAGTAAGAGATTGGAGCCACAAAATATGTTAAAAAGCTTGGTTGAACTGAAATTGTTTCACATAGGCCTCAGAATTAGCCAACATCAACATAGGCACAATGATGTGCACTGCATATAATCAAAGTTTTCATAATTCACACGATAGAGTAAGGAATGAGAGAATATTTAAGACAGATAGCTTAAGATTTATGTAGGGAATTATGTAGGTGACGGGGATTCCATATTTCTTATGTATAAAGGATGACTAACTTGTCGGTCAATTTCCCACAGCTGTTTAGCGCCAATAACTCTAAAACTAAACGAAAACCTCCAACATCTTGCAAAGCCTCACCTCTATGTTACTGAACTCTAGCTTCATAGATATCAAAAGATGACATCATTTGGCCAAAGAATTGAAAAGAGGCCATCCTTTGCGTGCAGAAAGCAAGCCTCCATCGTGATCGAACTCTGAATATAATGATGAAGTTTCAAGAGATTTGTAGTGAATTGCCACCTTTTCTAGTGAGACATCAGAAAGACATGGACATAGATAGGTAGCAAGACCAACCAATCCAGTCAAACTTTTGCTACAACAAAAATTCAAATCTTCTAGTCGAGTATCATTCTCCTCAATAGCAGCTGGACCTTTATCTCTACCATAGCACTGCTTTAAGAAGAGGGCATAACAAAATATTAGGCATAGCATTTAACATATCCAAGAATCATAATTTAATCGTAGATAACTTTTAAACTCAATTAACATATAGACATAAATTGTTTTTAAGACCCAAATGAAAAACGTGCCTAAGGCTATGTTTAATACAAGGGGAAAATGAGAAGGGACTTTCTATCCAATGTGATTAGACATATGTTTAGTTGAAAGAAAAGAAAATAATACTTTGAATCCAATATCCATCCCTTTCTAAGCTTCCCCTCTAATCAACCAAGGGAAACTCAATTCCCCCGGTATCTTTCCACTACTCATTATCTAAATTCACATACAATGCAAATGAACTTCACTGATTTCATGTTAGCTAGTGTTTCGCGTGATTTGTCACTAACAATTAAAAAGGATCGGACGATTGTGTAAGGAACAAAACTCTTGGAACAAAGTCCCAAAAAGGGGGTGTTTATCGAATTTGAAGATTACAATTTGGATATGAACAAGATGCTTCCAAGGGGCGCAAGCACACGAGTACAAAGAAACGAATTAATTAAAGTTAATCTAAGACAAAATAAATTACATATTCTCTATTTGAGAGTGAATTTTTCGGGGGTTGTCTTCATTGTCTTCTTCTTTCTTTTATACTCCTTGGGCAGTTCTTAAGAGTTTGGAAACTGTTTGTAACTACCAAAATTTGGAGGATCCGACACATATCTCGTACCCATACCTATGTCGTGTTGTGTCCAACACGAATACTCCAACTATTTCGAAGAGTCCGAGCATCAGAGGATATAACTCTTTATAAGTTGCTTTGGGTCAGCAGTGGAACAAGTAGTAGAAGGAAAACTATTTGCTAAATTGGAAGCACCTGAATGGTAAGAAATCAGTGGCAATGCAGATATTTGTCGGTACGATGTGTATATTTGGAAGAAGAGAAGAAAGAGTTTGTGGGCTGACAGTGCTGTCCGCAGGATATCATTTCCTTGTAGACAAGTCTGGACCACCTGCCCACCAGGGTGAATGCCATTTTTTTCTTGAGAACCAGGGTGATTATGGAAATTTGATGTCATTAATCTGAGGCAGAGAAATCAGGAATACCAACTGGACTTTTATGCATAAAGAAGCTGGGCAAAATATTCACTCATCAACTCCTGGTTAAAAGAGTTTAGAACACACAGCTATCTTATTTAGAGTCTACCGGGTAGAGTGGGTTGCACCAGGAGTTTATAGTAGAAATGTAAAATTTTGAAAAAGTAACTCCTTAGCATTTTGTTTGGATATAGAAAAATGTTGTTTTGGATACTTATTTGTGGACCCTGAGGCACATCCAACATCTCTAGGATTTTTGGGATTAAATAGAAATGAGTGGATGGCCAGAATAGTCAATTTTAGAGGTCCAGCCTTTCTCCATATACATTTGTTTCCCAATTGGCAAGCTAGTGATATTAGCACACTCATCAAATTTATGGATATTATGGGAGTATAATGAATTAAGAAAGATAATTGGAAAAACAAAACTATAACCAAATTCATGGTTATGATTAAGAGCTCTGTTAAGCCCAAGCAAGATATGTCCTAACTACCAAAGTTATCATTCCCTTAATTTTTCCTCAACCATAGTCACCTCCATTTATAGATGCATATTCTCATTTCATATTTTATCTCTATGGCCATATATCCATCTCAACATCGCCGGTTTCCATTATGTGTATCTTCTAAAAATTTTTTGCTTATTTAATAGTGCTTATACGCAGTTGATCCTATGGAATATGTGTATAGTAAGTAAGTAGTAAATTGTAGATCTTACTAAAAGTGCAGACAAAAAGAATTTTTGATCAGCTTAAATTATAATTTAAGCTTTAGCCCATAACCAGGATATATGAAGAGAAGTTCAGTACTCAAAAAAACAAGGCCTTCAAAATATTATTAAATAATAGAGGTTTATTTAAGCACGTTTGGGCATTCTGTTGCAATGATGTAAAACCTGCACATTGATTCAAGCCAATGATTTAATGCCAGCACACGAGTAATACATGTAACAACAATACTGTACCTCGTCATATTTTATAAAGTTTTGAGTATCAAGTTCCCCATTGACCTCTGGTTTATATGCTGCATCTATGTCATAAAGTTTGTCCCACTGTATATCTTTGAACCAAGGATGAGCCTGAATAAAAATTAATGGAATTTGAGGCATAAGATTGTTTTAATAACCGCAGTTATGACAATAAATTAAAAAAAATACCTTTAGTTCTTCCGCCCCATTAGAACCTAGCCTATTTTCAACATCACAAAGCAACCGACAGATCAGGTCCCTTGCTTCAGGAGATACCCTCACATCATTTGGAAATATTAAGTTATTTCTCCAGTGTACAATCTGGCAAACATCACACATTACATCATCCACATGAGGGAATACTGCATCACATACTTCGTAGAGGTTTAACAGATTACAAATGAAAATATATAAATGCAAAGTAAATAAGAAAAGAGAAATATTTGAACCTATTTGGCCCTCTTTTCTTTGAGTTGGACAATGTAATGAAACCATGAAAATTACAATGAAAAGAAACAGGAAACTGTGAAAAATGTGTTGCTCAGGGATTTCTAATCTTGTGTGCTCCACTTAAGTGATCAATATCACCTCTTAAATTGTTTGCCTATTCTTCTTTAGAAAGACTGCTTAGAGGTTATATCATGTACCTCCAACTCACTATGAAAAGAATTAGAAGTCACAAGTCAAATTTATGGATTCAGAAAGTTCAAGATGGACTGCTGATTCCCAAAACAAATACAATAGCCAAGAAGGTGAAATGTTAAATTAAAATGGTGACACTAACATTAAAAAAATTGCCCATTGTATATAGTCAGCATTCATTGTAAGAGATGAATCCTGAATTCTCTTTGTACTGTGGATGATAAAGGCACTAACTGCCAATAAATATAAACTGGCATTAAATATTTTTATGCTGATTATCATAAAGGGCAAAATTTAACACTAAAACCTAACAGTTGATAGATTATGAAAGAATGAGCACCAAAAAATGTAGCAGTGTATTATTAGGAAATTTGAGAATTTACAGATTGCAAGAAAATGAACTATTTAGGCACTAAATCAAAACAAAATTACATAGCCATGTATAAAATACAAGTAATAATTGTAAATCATTGGTTTTCAATAAGCATATTCTCTTGGACGTTTAAATGCCTTATAAGCGTACCTTCTTAGCTGAAAATTTCATTTAAAACTGCAAGTCGTGTTTGAGCCAAATTATTGTAGAATGAGAATAAAAAATATAGTCGTTATTGGGGCCCACATAAAAGATAGAAAATTTGAATTTAAGCCCCTGTTTGGCCCCCATTTTTTGGGGTTGAAAATTTGTAGAATAGTGATTGATGGGAAAATGTGTGGTGGAAAAGTTTTAGATTTGTGTGTAATATTATTTTATTTGAGAATATGTGGTTGAGATAAAGAGAGAAAGAGGGACTCAAATAAATCCAGAAAAGCCATCAATAATGATGAAAGTATAATGTTTACTATTTTAGCTTGTGTTACTAGATGATGGAAAAATGTGTGGTGGAAAAGTTTTAGATTTGTGTGTAATATTATTTTATTTGAGAATATGTGGTTGAGATAAAGAGAGAGAAAAAATTAATGTAATGGAATGAGAAAAGATGGGGCTCAAACGAGGGCTAAATGTTGATGTGATAGATAACGGTCTTATTTTTCATTTTAATGAGATAATAATGTAGATCAAACGGGGGCTCAATTTAAAAGCTGCTACATAGACATTCAGACCAACACAACACAACACAACTCAATTCAGCATGAGAATTAAGAAGGCAAGGTGCCTTACCACTAAATAGTACTAGGAAATTCACTATATAAAAATGAACTCGCTTTCTAAATCTCGACCGGGAAATGGTTAGAATTTTTTAAAATGGAGGTTACTGCATCAAAAGGAGTTTGGAGATGAGCACCTTTCTGCATGTTGTTATTGGATTATCAGAGTAGAATGGAGCATAACCAACCAGCATCTCATACATAATAGCTCCAAGTGACCACCTGTGGGCAGGCCATTCAGAAGACTATCAGACTGCAATATCATTTTTCTTTATCATGCATTGAATAACAAAGTTGATTTCTTGTGAAAAAAAAAATAATAATAATAATAATAAACAAAAGGATATATATGAAATGACAAAGGTAGTGTCATTTATTCTTGGAAAAGCAAACTGAATATTAACTATGAAGATACTAACCAATCACACTCCAGGCCATAACCTTTCTTTAATAATACTTCTGGAGCAATGTAATCAGGCGTGCCAACAGTTGAAAATGCCTGTCATGAACAGAAAGAATTTGGAATGAATCCAGGTACCCATCAATTAGAGTCGAAGGGTTAAAAATATGCTAAAGTCCGAGCTTAGTTAAGACGTCTGGAAACTCAACATGCTAATATGAAACTTCATGACAAATTCCAAAGAATCGTGATCCATTGCCATATTTTTATGTCAAGATGAAAATTTTGGCTTACCAATGTCCTCCTGTTCATTTGCCAATGCTGCATTTGTTCAAGGGGACTCTTCCAGCTGCTACCATCTCCCTTATCAGGTAAGCATCCATTGGCATCAAGTAGTCCCCTCGAGTTATCTTCATTCATTGGTTCCTTTGCATTCATACAAGATAAATTTTCGCAGTTGAGAGGTTTGCAAAGGCCAAAATCAGAAAGCTTCATATGACCATTTTTGTCCAACAGGAGGTTGTCAGGTTTAATATCTCTGAAAAAAGTATTATCATAATAACAGAAAATGAAAACCGCTGGAACTTTCTTCAATTGTTTGTTGATGTATCAAATTTAATACATTACGGATTTACTAACCTGTGGACGTAATTATGCTTGTGAATAGACTCTATTGCCAGAACACTTTGAGCAATGTAAAATCTAGCGACAGTTTCAGTTAAGGTCTCCTCTCTAATTAGTAAAGTCATTATGTCACCACCAGGTAGGTATTCCATTACAAGATACAAGTATTCGGCATCTTGGAATGAATAATAAAGTTTCACAATAAAGTGACTAGCAACTTCAGCAAGCAGATTTCTTTCAGCTCTGACATGTTCAACCTGTACCATCCATAGACAATCACTGAAATAAGTACATTTTCTCCAACCAATAAATTATATTCCATTAAGCATAAGTAAATAACTGGCCAGGGATATCTTGTGTTCTTAAGAAAATGTATTTATCAAACATTATGCATGTGCACACGATCTCACCTGTCCCCTGCTAACCATTTCTGACTTCTTCAACTTCTTCATTGCATATATTTTACCAGATATTTTCTCCCGACAAAGTCTAACCTGTGACAAGATTTCATATGAGAACCAAGTAGTTCATCAGTATAGAACGTATCAGATGACTGATCTGGAAAACATGTCTATTCTGCTTCCAGTCAAATAAAAAGTATTAGCATAATTCAACACAACATTATGTTCGAGAAGAATATAATAGCAGGAGATCTTTGAATAAGTTTCAAGAACAGAAAATTCAAGTGGAACATATATAATTCAAAGGCTGATCTACCTCTCCAAAGGCTCCTCTTCCTATAATAGTTAAGAGATCAAAATCATCTACAGATATTTTGTGCCTTTTAAGACGCATATACTCTGTCTCTTTACGCTGCAATTCATTCAAAAGGTTCATCTGCTCCTCCTCTGATACATCAGAATTAGCTATCATCTTCTCTAGCAGTTGACGCCTGCAATTTGAACACAAAAATAATTAAGGGTGTGTGCCTCAAGACATCAGATAAACCCATCTAATTCTTTTGATGCCTTTCAATAAGTTAGCTTGAGTAATACAAGTACGAAACAGTGATAAGAAGAATAGTTAACTATCTGTCAATTATAACCTGTGCAAAAAATCATAAACTCGTAAATCCTCTTCAGACCAAGTAAGTTAATGCACATTTCAGTTATTCTTGTCAATCTGCTTCATCCTTTTCCATTTCTTCATATTTCACATTCGTCCTTGGCAGATTCACAATTCTATTCTTCAACATTTTCAGCGGGCATTCACAATGAGAAGCCATAATTGATCGTTTGGCAGCAGTACACTTTCATGAATCATGAAAAAAACTAAATGCCCATAAACACTTAGCCCTTCCAAAATATACACCTGTGAGTTTCAGCATCATTTTGAAACTTAATTTTAAATAAGGGCGTGTTCGGTAGAGATTAAAATTGAAAAATTAGGCGTTATTGTTGACTTTTATTAGATGAATGAGACCAATAACGGCTATATTTTCAATTTTAATTGAATTTTAAGCTTGACCAAACATGCTCTAAATAACTACAATCAAATTAATTCACCTGAAAATGAAAAAATTAGTAATTATATACGACATTTAAATAATAAAAACATAAGAACAGATAACTAATTACAAATAAATTTCACTCCTTCAGTCCGTGTGAATCATCAGAAACATATCTTAATTTCTCAATCTCTGATTCACATAAAATTGCATGCATGGTACTGTAATTAATTACACACATCCATTCACATAAAACATTCACTTCATTCAAAAAATAATAATAATTAATCATTTTCCATGGCAAAATTTCTTAATATAAAATGCATTTGATGAAATAAATTCGTATATATTAATCACCTTTCTCTGCGTTTCTGCATGTCTTTCATATGGCTTTTATAATGATCCTCAATGAATTTCTTGGCCGCCGCGACTCGTTCGAGGGTCAAGCTGTCCATTTGCTCCTCCAATTCTTCCTCCTCTTCCTCCGCCATCGCCACCACCTTATCCTCCGGATCCATATATATATTCTATACAATCTCTCTCTGTGTGTATATATCTATGTATCAAATACGTGTGTATATATAAGGCGATGTTTGTATAGGTGAATTGTGCGTGAAAATCGTGGGGTGATCGAGACAGCGAAGCCGAGTCCGGGGCGGGGAGGGATCAAAATTTTGGAGAAATGTGTGTATACGTGTATTTTGGTGTGTGTGTGTGTGTGTGTGTGTTGGGGGAGGGGGGAAGCAAATAAAGAAGACGAAAATAGAAAAAATAAGGAAAAAAATGCAGGTCATGTATTCCCAACCTTTTAACATTGTGTCATTTCATTTGTTTAGTTCAACGTTAAATGGTCACTTTGACACTCGTGACTTACGTGAACTTGGTCTGAAGAATAAAATTGTTCTTAAAGATTTTATTTATTTCAAAGTAAAATATATTGTAACTTCAACTTTCAAAAAGAAATATAGATATGATAAAATTGTTTAGTGTTCAAGTAATTAACATCTTTTCTTACTTAAACATGTCAACGACATGCATTATGTGATCATTTAGTCACTTTTTTGTTTTGGTTAAAAATCATATTTTTAATAAATTTTGATAATAGTTGATGAAAACAATATAATTAATGTGTCCAACGTATAACTTGTTGCATTTCATGTACCCAACCTTTTAACATTGTGTCATTTCATTTCATTAGTTTATTTGATCGTTACATGGTCACTTGACACTCACGACCCGCGTGGAGTTGGATTGGAGACTAAAATTGATCTTAAAGATTTTCTTTATTTCAAAACAAAATACACTGTAACTTCACCTTTCAATTAGAAATAGAGATATGATAAAATTGTTTAGTGTTCAAGAAATGTCTTTCCTTAAAGGATTATGCTAGATGCACACCTAGATGTGTCAAGATGGACGAGTCTGCCAGACCAGTGAAAATCTGCTCGGATCGATCCGGGATCGCGAGCCGACCCGTGACCCAAGCGAATGGTTCACGGGTCAATGAGGTATGACCCGCGAGCTTTGCAGGTTGCACTTTCACTAACCCGCGGCCCGTGAAATTTTTTTTTTTTTTTTAATTCGAAAAAAATGGGGGCGGGAGAGAGAACAAGATAAAATTATTGATGATGTTGCTAAAAATTTCAAAAATCTTGCAGTTCCTGAAAATTGATTGGAAAACAAATATTAAAATATATAATTTTTGAACAATTAAATTATAATTAAGACTTAGTAGGTGCCAACGTAGTGAGGATGTACTTATATTATAAATATTTGATAATAGTAATTAGAAATGCATTTAGGGTGCGTTTGATTGCAAGGGTGGAAAATTGGTGGAAAGAAAATATTTTACAGGGAAAAGATTTGCCTAAAAAATATTTTATAGTGAATATTATTTCAAGTGTATTTGATTAGTATAATTTTCCA